ACTCCTGAGCCTCCAGTAGAAAAAGACTGATAACTCAATTAAAAAATGGGAAAAAGGCATGGCAAGACTTTTCACAGAGGAAGACATTCAGATTGCCAACAGACACATGAGAAATGCTGAAAATCACTAGTAATAAAAAAGATGCAAATAAAAATCGCACTGAAATACCATCTCATCCCACTAGCAAAGTTTATCAGGACAGCAGGGAATAAATGTTGGAGACAAGGATACAACCATTCTAGAAGGCAGTTTGGCATTTCCTCAGAAAGTTGAATAGTAGAAACTCCGTATGACCCAGCTATTCCACTACTATGAATATGTTGTTGTTGTTGTTGTTGTTATGTGCCATCGAGTTGCTTGCGACTCATAGCGACCCTATGTACAACAGCTCTAAACTCTGCTCTGTCCTCTGCCAAGCATACTGTCTCCAGTATACCCATCCCGATTACCCCAGTCACTGAATCAATCCACCTCATCGAGGGTCTTCCCCTCCTGCACTTTCCTTTCACCCTCCCAAGCATGATGTTCCTCTCCAAGGACCGGTCCCTCTTTACATGTCCAAAGTATGTCAGACGATGCCCCAAAATCCTTGCTTCCAGGGAGTAGCCTGATATAACCCTCTCCAGGATGAATCTGTGTTGGTTTTTTTTTCTTAGCAGTCAGTGGTACCCTCAATACTCTTATCCAGCGCCGCAGGTCAGAGGCATCAGTTCTTCTATCCTCCTTAGTCATTGTCCAACTCTCTGACACATAACGATTGCAAAGACCATGGCCTGTATCAGATGCACCTTAGTCTCCAGAGTTGACATCACTGCTCTTCAGTAGTTTGGAGAAGTACCTAATAGCAGACTTTCCCATCGCAATATGTCTTTTAATTTCTTGGCTGCTGGTGCCAAGAGTGTTGACTGTGGAGCCAAGCAAGTTAAAGCTGTGAACAATCTCAATCTCTTCACCATCCATCCTGATGCTGCCAGTTGTTCCAGTGGTGAGAATCTTTGTCTTCTTGACATTGAGCCTCGATCCATATTGGAGGCTGCAGTTCTTGCAGCAAGCACTTCAAGTCCTCCTCAGTTTCAGCAAGTAGGGTTGTGTCATCTGCATAACACAGATTGTTGATAGATCTTCCACCAATCCTGACACCACACTTCTCCTCATAAGAGTCCAGGCTCCCGGATAATCTGTTCTGCATACAGGTTGAAAAGACATGGAGAGAGGACACATCCCTGGCGTACACCCCTCCCAATTTTGAACCATGCAGTGTTTCCTTTCTCTGTTCTGATGACTGGTTCTTGGTTTCGCATTAGCACAATCAAGTGCTAATCAAGGATTCCCATTCTTCTCAGAGTCAGCCACAGTTTGTTATGATCCACACAATCAAATGCCTTTGCATAATCAATGAAACACAGATAGACATTCCTCTGGTATTCCCTGCTTTCAGCGAAGATCCATCGAACATTAGCTACAATATCCCTAGTACCACCGCCCCTTCTAAACCCAGCCTGGACTTCTGGCAGCTCTGCTCGTGTGCTATTCCAGTCATTTTTGGATAATCTTCAGTAGAATCTTGCTTGCATGTGAAATCAATGAGATTGTTTTATAGTTTCCACACTCTGTTGGGTTACCTTTCTTTGGGATGGGAACAAATGTAGATCTCTTCCAGTCAGTTGGCCAAGTGGTTGTTCTCCAGATTTCCTGGCACAACTTGGTGAGCACGTCCAGGGCAGCATCTGTTAGCTGAAACATGTCAATTGGTATACCATCTATTCCTGGAGCCTTATTTTTTGCCATTTCCTTCAAAGCATCCTGAACTTCTTCCTTCATCACCATAGGCTCTTGCTCATATGTTGTTTCATAAAATTCTTCTGTGTCTGCCAATTCCTTTTGCTACAGTGACTCAGTTTATCCTATACCCCAAGGAAATTAGGATTGCAACACAAATGGAGATTTGTACACCAGTGTTGATAGCAACATTATTCACCATCACAATAATATGGAAACAGACCAAATGTCCAACCACAAATGAATGGATTGAGAAATTACAGTACCTTCACACAATGGAATATTATTCAGCATTCAGGAGCAATTATTTCGAAAAATACTACATAACTTGGAAGAGACTGGAGAACATTATGCTGAGTGAACTAATTCAGTCTCATAAGGACAAATGCTGCGTAAGACCATTGTTGTAAAAATAGAAGGATAACTAGTAAAACACATATGGGGACCCAAGCGGGTACAAGGTGGGAGCAAAGGGATGAAGATGGGTAGTAGCAAAACCATAGGGTTGCACAGTTTGGTGGGTAAAGGGAGGGAATGAAGGAAATGGGAAAGATCTGACAGGGTTCTGAAAGACAGGGTAAAGATGGGCATAGTTCACTGGTGATTAATTTTATAAAACATATAAGAATATATAAAATACAATGTGAATGAAGAATAGTGTGAAATACAATGTATATGAACTTTATATGCAAACTAAAATAAAAATTTAAAGGAAAAAATAGGAATACAGGAAAATGGGATATTGTTAATAAAGAAATGGAACACATATTAACATCCTAGACTTTGGTGAGCTGAGATCAACTGGCATGGGCCATTTTTTTAATTTATTTTTTTAATAGTTTAATGTATTTTAATAGCAAACTTACAGAACAGCACAGAAGACAGACAACATTAAAAACGTAGTTGCCTGTACGACAACTCAGTTAGAAAAATATGGTGAATGGATGGATCTACTGTATGATAAAAATGCTACAAACACTATTTAGTTGCCATCAATAAGAAATTTACTTGTTTTAAAAAAATCCAAATGCTGACATTGTCCAGAAAAATTTAACAGGTGTATTTATAATTCTTACAAAGTTGAATTGCCGAAACTTGTTCACGGGAAACATTTTTTCTGACTTGCAGTAATGCTTTATATCCCCACATTTATCTTAGAAATTCACACACAAATGAAAATGGGAAAACTGCCAATCCCTGATTCTGCCCCCTATGTTTCCATTCACAGTCATATACTTAGGTACCTTTTGACCCCATGGAAAAAGATTATCTAACGTTCAAGAACTACCAATAACAGGAAGAAGAGATTTATTTTTTTTTTAAAGAATGATATGTTTCCCATCCTAATGGCTTCTTAAGCACTCTCTCCACGTATGCGGTGTGCTAGCTGGGTGTCTTTTGGCATAATTGTTGCACGTTTGGCATGGATGGCACACAGGTTGGTGTCTTCAAAGAGGCCAACCAGATAGGCCTCACTTGCCTCCTCCAAAGTACCAATGGCTGCGCTCTGAAAGCGCAGATTTGTTTTGAAGTCCTGAGTAATTTCTCGCACCAGACGCTGGAAGGGAAGTTTTCGAATCAGGAGTTCAGTGGCCTTGTGATAATGCCTGATTTCACAGAGTGCCACAGTACCAGGCCTGTAGCGATGCGGCTTCTTCACCCCGCCAGTAGAGGGCGAGCTTTTGTGAGCGGCTTTTGTTGCCAGCTGCTTCCTAGGTGCTTTCCCACCAGTTGATTTGTAGCGGTCTGCTTTGTAAGAGCCATGGTATAAACACCTTCACTTACCTCCCCCTTCGTCGGCTGGAGCTCCATGGCGCTGGCTTCGGAGAGCTATGGATGTGCGGCAGCTGTGGCACGGGCCATTTTTAATCAGACAGTCACTTCATCTACTTTTGCTAGGAATGGAAAAATGAAGTTGCATTCCTAGTAGAAACCATTTCTAGATCCATCCTGAAATCCAGTATTGTGAGTGACATGATAATACCCATCACATGCAAAGTAGGTTTGTTATACCACTTTCATTCAAATATATGCACCAACAAGAGCCAAATAGGAGGAAATAGATTTCTACCAAATTTTACAGTCCAAAATAAACATGCAACCAAGATCTATTAATAATAGGGAGCTCTCGTAGCCTTGAGGTAAGAAACTTTGCTGCAATCCCAAAGGCATGTGATTTGAATCCACCAGCTGATCTTCACAAGGAAAGGCAGTCTCCTCACATACAATTTACTGTCTCTGAAAACACAGTGGAGGGTCTGTTCTGCATCAGTCCTGACTCAACAGTACCCATCCACAACAACAGTTAATTTCAGGCTAAACTAAAATTCTTTTTCTAGACAGCCAGCTATGTCCAGACTGGGCTGGCTTGTCACCCCTACATATGAATCTTCTCACTATTTTGCCACATAGATGAATTGATTCTTAACACTGTTCATTACTAAGTAGTCTGGTTTTGGAGGCTTTTGCTATATTCTAACTAGTTCATTATGCAAAAAGTACATGGTTTAATCTTTACTGGTATTTACTATTTATCTTTCATCTTTCTCTTAAGTTATGTTTTTAGCATCTAAAATAAAATTTCTCTCTCATATACTTAGTTTGGTAAATGTTTTCATTTTTGATGGTTTATCATTTTAGATTAGATTTGGAAGGGCTACTTCATAGTGCTCAGCATAACTGAAATCTTTTGGGTATAGACCTGGTTTTTGCTATTTTGGTTTTTTATCGCTTTTTTTGTTTTATTATACTAATTTATTTACACAATTCAAATACATTGTTTTTCAGACCAGATTCTTCCAGTTGGTGATTTAGTTTTAAGCTACACTTTGAATGATCAAGGTTCACTTTACATTATGCTTTGCTGGTTATGACTTTATTTCCTCCCATATCATGTTAAGTTAAAATATGTTTAAGTGAAGACACTTGAAGAGGGTGACAGGCAGTGCATGCTTCATGACCTGATTCAATTAGGCTCTGTATTCTTAGTTTACTACTAAATCCTCCTTCAGCCTTCAATTTCATGGAAGCCTCCATTGATGTTCTTGCTTAGAAAATATAGCCCCTTGTTTGCCACCAGTTTTATATCACACATTGGTACTCCTTTTAAGAATTTGCTTGGGCGGTGCAGAGGCGCGGCCTGGCCTTTAGCCGCAGGCTTCGCAGGACCGGGCTGGACCCACTGGGCATGATAGGCTTCGTGGAAGTGCATGTTGTCTTCTTTGAAGAAACATGAAGTCATGCTGTATTGTGTTCGCTTTGCCCATCCTGGTGTTCCTGATGTGGATCCCAATGTCGCTGAGCTGTAACAAAGCACTCTGTGCTAGTGATGTGAGCAAATGTCTTATTCAGGAGCTATGCCAGTGCCAGCCTGGAGAAGGCAACTGCTCGTGCTGTAAGGAGTGCATGCTTTGTCTGGGCGCGCTTTGGGATGAGTGCTGTGACTGCGTTGGTATGTGCAATCCTCGAAATTACAGTGACACACCTCCGACGTCGAAGAGCACTGTGGAGGAACTGCATGAGTCCATCCCATCACTCTTCCGGGCCCTCACTGAAGGGGACACTCACCTAAACTGGAACGTTGTCTCATTTCCCGTGGCAGAAGAGTTGTCCCATCATGAAAATCTGGTTTCGTTTTTAGAAACTGTAAACCAGCCACACCACCAAAATGTGTCTGTTCCCAGCAATAATGTTCACGCACCTTATGCCAGTGACAAAG